ACTAAAATGTGAATGAAAGGGAAAAAAACCCACTGTTGATTTAAGTGAACTTATCCACTCACTTATGTGTATGTCAATATTTTTTAAAAAGAGTCAACTTTATTATTTCAATCAGACAGATTTATTGGCTCATCCAAACTATACAAAATAATCCCACAATTTTAGTTAAACCGTACGACAATAACAACATGTTAAGTGGAACCTGCATGTCAACTAGTGTTCACATCTTCATGCTATTGAATTGAGATTGAATATAAAAAAAAACAACATTATAGATTTCCTTAGAATATTAGCAACAATGCCAGTATCTTTAATTTGACACAGAAAAGTGTGCGCACTGTGTTTTGGTAAACATTTTATGGAGACTGTATCGAACAGCACATCCCTGGGCAGTTACTTGGGCTGACAAACTGAAAAATCTTGAAAACAAACGCTGGATAGAACATGTGCCGATGATACACAATAGCACACTACTAAACGTGAGTGCAGTCCGTATTTCACATCATTTTAACCATCGTATCATATTTGAAGACACGCACGGGCACACACACGGATCAGTAAATGTCAATCAACATCACTTTGGATTTATCCAGATTTAGCAGAACTATGAGCACACTTTTGAGACAGTGGAACCATTAAGTTCTATCGAAGACTAGGAATTGAATTATAAATTGGGAGCTGGAATCGATCGAGCACTTTGGCAACAAAATGGACCTGAAGAGGTGCACTCAAGAAAAGAAGGAAATGAGCATGACAAGAGTGCACCGTGCATTCAAAAACAGAGGGGTAATGATTGAAGAAGGATCCAGTTTCCTGTGCGTTATTTCCTTCAGTTGGAACCAGGCTAAACACAACAACAGTACTATCTTCCGGCTATTTGACACACCTTAATATCAGGTGTGGGGTTTCTCCAAAAGAACACCAGAGGGACAACATGGTGATGTCCAAACACAACCTCGGAATCCTCAAAGGTGCGGTGGTGTCGTGCTTCCACAAGGGCAGGATATGTTTGAGTCCTGAATGGACAGTGAGGCCTTCTCCGGTAACCTTTAATGGCCCCAGGCCCTGCTCGCCTTTCCTTTCGGGACCACTGACCATGTTTCTTCACTTTGGCCTCTCAAGGAAAGGTGAGCTTGGGAATGGGGCCTTTGAAGGAAATTGGAACACGCCCGAATGCAAAACGATAACACGCTCATGGCGGCGAGTGAGTGGGAAAAGGTTTTATGTCTCTATCACCAGAAAGCACAATTTGCGCGCATTCACGGGCGCCATTTGAGTTGATAAACTTGACGAGCTGCCTCCTCATTGGCTATCATCTTTTGTTGGAGAAGACTTCGCCTTGTCAGAGTCTTCTTCACCTTCATCAGCTGGAGGACAGAGAAGCAAATTGACAAGTCAGTCTCTTGCAAGGCCTGCAGAATCTGCAATGTGTTTTATTTTGAAGGTCTTATTTCCCATCATTGCTTGTGTTGTGGTTTTGACTATGAATAGGAATTTGGTTAATGTCCCTGACATATTGCTTTGAAAACAAATGATCAATTGAGAATTTTTTATTTTAGATCTTTTAAATGGGACATGTCACTGGTTGAAGGGTGGTCAGCAAATCTGCATCACAGTATTGATGTTGCTCTATGGCCTCCTGTGTGACGTTTGCATGTTCTCCCGTTGCGTGTGTGGGTATTCGCCGAGTACTCCAGCTTCCTTCCACATGACAAAAACGTGCATGTTAAGTTCATTGGCCTTAGGTGGCGTTGTGAATGGTTGTGTTGTGTTGACTTCTGGACTCGAGAGCTGAAGGACTTTGATTTATGACACAGCTACTTTATTGCATTTTTACCCATGCGCGCGAATCCTTGTGTGGGGACTTTGGCCCGTTCCATAGAAGACTTCGACTTTCCATTAAAGACTCTTATTTGGATTGATTTTCTCGGCATTCACGGGTGTACATGTTTGTGTTTAATAGTAGCCTTAGCAACATTAGCTTAATTCCACTTTTGTGTTTGATTTTTTTTTATTCTTCTTTTTGTGATGAAAATAATCAAACAGGAAATGGAACTTACTGTGATGCAAGAATACTGGACAGGTACATGTATCTCTGTCCTTTGATCAGAACGAGATATGACTGCCGCAAAGTGACGAGAAGGTGGATTTACGTGTCTTTATAGTGTCCAATAATGTTCAGAGATTTGCCCTTAAGCCATTTCAGACATTTTCGTTTGGTTGATTATTAGTAAAAATAGCAGACGCATGTGGGGACTGACTAATAGTATACATTTGTGAAAAAATATGAAATTTGGATATGGGAGGTTTCCACCCAACGGTGGTGATGCTGCATTATTCAGCTCATGTCTCTTAAAGTGCCAATCAAAACTGTGCATTATGTTTACAATGTTCTGGCTGGGCAGCCGTTGTGTTTACTCACTCTTACCGGGTTTGTTGATGTTGAGCTGCGCCAGGCTCGCCGACAGATCCGCGGGTCCCGGCCCCCCGGAGGCTGGTGGGATATCGTGGATGGCGTTCCGGCGGCCGGACCGTCGAGAGGCGATGAAGTCCTCATAGGTCGCCTCCACATCCGTCATCTCTGCCACGCCTCACCATCGCAGGGCCTGCACACGCTTGTCGAAAAAAAAATGGAAAAACAAGGTAGGTATGTTATATAGACGTGGGGTTTCTGTATCTAGAAAATCCCCTTAACAGAGGCCTGCCGTCTCTTTTTTTGGAGTTAATCCGTCAATCTCTTTGGAGATCAGTCCACAAGGGAGTCAAAAGGAGCATTTGTTTCAATAGAAAGCAGAGTGTTCTTGAACTGACGACAAGAAGATGAAATTATGGCCCGAGGAGGAAAGGATTCAAATTCTAGTTCACTTGGAATGAGCATAAAGCGTGATTGGAGTCGCGTTGCCACGGCGATTTGGGTGCCATTCACTTTCTCCCAGTCTCCTCCTCAACGCTGCACAGCCTGTTCTCTGCTTGGGTTGCGGTGTCTTCATTAACGGGAGACTGGGACCTAACCTATGCAAAGCAACGCTGCTCCATTGGTCTTACTGAATTGCATTGTGCCCGAAGGTTGGTAGCCTACTGACAGCATCCTCAAATGACTGTGCGAGCATTCTCGTCTATTTTCAGATACATCTTTCACCATGTGAGTGAGCAACGTAACCCACGCAGCTGCCACGTTCCCAGTGGTGTCAGCATGGGTGAGACCCCACAGATGTTCACCGAGGAATAGTGAGAGGATTATTTTACTTTATGTGGTATTGCTTCTGAAAGGCTCAGTTCCTCAATGACGCAGGGGGCAGGGCCTTTTAGAAAACGACGTATCCTTGGCGCTTGTTTGGTACGCTCAAGTCCGATGCAATATTCATTTGGAAGTTTTCATAATTTAGACCTGCTTGGACTCCTGACACAGCCTGCTAGTCAAGTGTGTGAGTGTGTCCCATGTGGGAGCAGCGCTCAGCTGGACATAACTCGAAGACGCCAAACAACTGATGCAATGAGAAAAAAAAAAAAAAGAAATCGTCATAAATAAATAAAATGGGGAAAATATAAAAGGGAAGAAAATGGGTAATTCCTGGTTAGTGATGCTTTTACAGTACACATTCAAATAATACATTTTACTTAACAAAATGCTTTTTAAGATAACATTTTAATCATAGATTGTGGTCTTACATTTAACAAACCCAAATGCATATCAATTTTTTTAGTAGTAAGGATCTTGTTTGTTTTGTCCCAGATTTTCCTTTAAATTATGTCCTGTAATTTAAATGTAAATACATAGAAATGCTCATTAATTAGTGGTCACCTTTAAATATATATAAATATGGAAACAGCTGTTTTAAATGTATTATTTTTGATCATACAATTGTACAAAATGGATAATATGTAACCTTTCCTAGGAGCCACATTTACTTTCCGAGTGAGTGCTCAAATGCCGTCAGTGAACTGGTATTACCGCTTAGAAATCAATCATAAAATACAGAAAGAAGGCGTTGAAATGCATACCGTTGTTTGGCGAAATGTAATAATACGCATAGTACAAAACGATTACATGTGAACATGTGCGTGCAGGTTAAAGCCACGCGCACATTGATCGCAATAATAAACCGACATGCGTGTCTGCGGTGGAAGGCCCCTCGCTGAACCTGCAAACACAGCTTGCGTTGTTTACATCACGTCATTTTGCATCACATGAGCAGTTTGAATTGTTAAGCGGTACCTGTAAAGCTTTAAAAAGGCGTCCAAATATTCACATGTGGGGTCAAGTACATCAGGTGAAGGAGCAGTACCTCGGCAAATCTCGTCACACTCTCAAATAGGTTTACCAGCGTCAATGTCAAGGTGGCGACGGGGTGATATGTATGCTTCCGGTTTTCGTTTCAAAATAAAGACTACGATCGTTGCGTTTGTCAAACAAATGGTGAACAGCGTGTGTCCGTTTGTGTGACGTGTGTGTGCAGTGGAGAACAGTGATTCTCTTGTTAGGCCCACACAGCCTTCCCTCAAAGCAGCTGCTTGTCAGTAACTCCATTCATAAGACACATATGTGCTCAAGGTGCAAAACAGCTGCAAAAGTGTTTGCTTTGTGTATACGTTCAGGTTGGAGAAAAAGCGTTTGCGCAGGAGACGCTAACACAAAATGATAATAGCATCCTGCAGATCTGTACCTGGAAAAAAAGGCGATTTATACTCCGCATTCCAGTTCAGGAGCAGGGGTTACCTCCCATGCTCCATCTGCTGGTTCATCTTGAGCATGTTACATGAACGCGGACCACGCAGTAACAACCAATGGAATCCTGAGATGTTGACATATTGCTAGCATCATACAAGCCAGTTGCCATTGGTAGCCCAAAGAACATTAGAGTCAAGAGACTTCCCCACTGGCCGGTTCTATCGAGACGCAAAGAAACTCCCACTAAATAATAAATCACGCTCACTATTTGATTTACATTTGTTGGACAATTGAGTTGTTCAGAGTAACAGTGGTGGTCATATTTATGTTTGCTTGATTTAATTTCAAACATAAATCCTAAAGTAGAGCTGATATTGCTGTGAAAAATCAGCCGCAGAGACGCTTGAGTTGTGACTTGTTCGAACGTTTGTCCCTACTTGGGCTTCGTCTGATCTCGGCTTATCGGTGGGATGTCTGGTGGGGAGGAGTTGACGTGAAAAGAGGAGCAAAAATCGAGGACCGAGAAGGTTCAAATAATGAAATGCCATAAACTCCCGGCGTCTGTTAACAAAACAGGAAATGTCTAGCGGTGAACTGTTTTACATCATCGGCGAAGACAAGTATCTTGTTTGTAAGGACAGCTGAAGTGCATCATCTCCAAGTAAAAGAAACGGTAATGATGGACGAGTTCAATGGTAAGCTAAATTGCGGTGTTTCCTCTAGCCTTGCGTGTTAAATTCCAGTTTGCGATTTTGGGGCGGTCAGTCATTGTGAATTCTGTCAGCGACTTCCTATTGTTTGGGTTCTCGCCTCTGCCAGGCAATGTAACGTTTGGTGTGTACACGCTAGCTGTTGGGTAAAGACTGCAATCGACGTGTTTGTATTTGGGAACTGGCCGTCATTAGTATCAGTGCTCGCAATTAATTGTACATATGACACAAGCATTTAAACAAGCTTCTTTACAGCCACGCTCTTTCTAAATAGATACAGTTAATCTCAAAGGTCAACATCGTTGTTGAGATTGTGCAGTACAAGTAGATCTATCAATGATTACGATGTAAAAAAAAAAAGGGTTTTTCTTTTTTTTTTTGGAGATGGACGCGATGCCCTGCAGGGATCAGGACCCCTGCGATTCTTTGATCTGACGCTCATTGTATCTCAAAATGGAAGAGCGTCTCATCAGTCAATACCCATTTGTCCATCCAGGAACTGCTTATGCACTCTGATCACATAAGGCTGGAAGGCTTACATCTAACTCTCTGCTCCAGAGTCATGTTAACATTTACTCTAAGGAGGTCATACTGGTAGGTAATAACAGGCACTGTCAGTAGGTCTGTGCGATCTTTCAAAGGCTGTCTAAATGCCTCCGGCGCTTGGTGTGGGCCGGTGAATGTCGGTTGTGATGTCCTCAAAGAAGAAAGACTAGGGTCATTTTGAGATTGAGCGCTGGCACATATAGCAGTCTTAGATGTGATGACTGGGTGTGAGTTGTTGTCGATAGCAGCTCTTGAATAAATGAGTATTCTGTTACCGCTAGGCAGCACAAAAGTTTGTCATCATTGACGCATGCCAATGACTGCGCATCCCAGCTTTGTTTTTTTTTCAAAATTTGCAGTACAATGCCTCATAAAAACAAATATTGATATTATGTTGTTGAACTTGGACTCCATATGTCACTTTCAGATGGGGAGGCCCTTCCTGTTGGCGATCTATCGCAGTGTAACACCTGTAAAAGAATGTTCTTCCCTAAAGTTCTGGTAAAGTCAACATCATTGCTAACATTCCGAAACACTGGCCATTTTAATAATGGCAAACTTGTTCTGGGAGTTGCAGTTAGGTGGTATTTGGTGTGGTTCCTGGGAAAGGGTTTCTCTTTTTCCTCCAGGAGAAGCATTCCAAAATCTGTCAAAAGTCTGCGTCCAAACGGAGGAAGGTTTTTGACTCCAGCAGGCAAAGAGCTGCCGGCACAGACATCCCAACCCTCAAACCCCTAAAACCAAAGGTAAGGTCACACAATGATGTGGTGGCTGGACTCCAAAGTTTCAGATTTGAGTCCGACTGGCCTCTCAAAGCATCCCTGAACATGCGATATTTCCACTTGTGTTTATGACCTCATGCCAATGGTTGGCAGCTTTTGTTTTTTTTGGCTTTCTCAGCCACTTCAGCTCTGAATTGTGATAACACCGTTCACCCCTGGTTATGTTGATGAAAAACTGTGGCCCCCTCCATCTTTTAAGATGCTCATCTCTGGTCCCAGCAGTGCCATCTTGCTCTTTGTCTTGTTGACGTGATCACATCAATGTATGCAAGTTAATGTAAAATGTCCCATTGAACATTGAAGTCATTCCTTTGCTTGGTGTCCACATTTGCAAAACGAAAAATACAACTACTTTATATTTCAGTCCCAAAGTTCATCATCTTCTCACAAAGTAAGTTGATTTATTTATTTTTTTGTTTGTTTTTGTTTTAGATAACAATCCATCTCTGAGCTGTAGCCTACTTCCTAACAGTGTTTAAGACCCACTTCCTCCATCTCTACCAGCTTTACACTCGTTCTAGCCTCTAATTGCATGAATTAAAAATTCCTATGCTACAAACAACACATCTTTACTTGAATGGTATGATTAGCTCCCATGCAAACAGGAACGATTTGGAAGGCTTGGGTGATCACTTTGAGGGCACACATGGAGAAAATCGGGTTTTGCGGCCATCAAATCAGAACTGTGTCTGAGCCTAAAACCCACGAGAGTCCGCTTCAGTGTTCTCGGAGGCTCTGTGTGTTGCTGTTCAACTCGCACACTATCCGGTATGTACCTGTTGAAATGACAGAGTGATGTTCAGAATGTTGCCTCCTGCCAGGCGGAACCCCCAAAGAAGCCATCCAACTGGCGCAAGAAACATGAAGACTTCATCGCGGCCATCCAGGCATCCAAGGCCAGCATGAGGGCCATGAAAGAAGGCGCACCTTTGCCCCCGCCTCCTCCTCCTTCATATGACCCAGGTAAGTCAGATTCGGCACACTTGAAACTAACTCGGACTGCGACTTAAAACGTTTTTTTTTTTTTTTTTCTCTCACCCAAATCGGATGTCCGATTTAGATCAATTTAATCCTATTCCATGTTTACAAATCGTCAAATGCATCATAAATGTGCATCGCTTGGTTGGCCTTTATGTAATCGTAAGCGTAACAGCGCACCCCCCTCTGGCTCTCCCCCGGGCTGTTCTCACGTGTATCGAGGCAAAATATTTCTGGCTTGAAAACACATACCTTGGTTCAAAAGTTTCCATAAATCGCTGTTTTTGAATCGCGTTAAGTGTGAGCCATGTCTTTGGCAATGTTCAGCTCAATTCACTCCATGATGGACTTCGACCGGGCTCCTTTCTTGCCATTCGGGCAACAGTGGGACAATAAATCCACTCATCTTGTCTGTGTCTTAACTTCTTTCTCATTTTTTGAAAAACGAAAGTAGCTGCCGCTCACTAAATACAGCACCTTTCCCAAATGCAGATGTAGGTCTTCTACCAATCGGTGCAAAGCTTATTTCGATATAAATAATACAAATAATCAGGTGAAATTCAACCGTGTCATCTGCCAAGTGTTTCGGACCTAGAATAGCTTGAAAAGGGCATCTTGGGTATTTCCAACCCACATCAAATGGTGAACCGGCTTAAAAGGCATCCAAGATTTTGTTAAAAGAAAAAAAAAAAAGGATTTGGCATGGGACCTTGAAAGTAAAAGCGAAAACATGGCCACAACACTTTGTAAATCTCATATTGCCACCAAACACTTAGATGCACATTTTCTCTCAATTTCTTCTTCAGACCTAATCCAGTGTCCGTATTGTCAGCGGAGGTTCAACGAAACCGCCGCTCAAGGACACATTAAGTTCTGTCGGGATCAGGCTTCCAGAATGGGAAACAAGAACAAGTTGGGCGATGTCAAGAAAATGCCTGCTCGCACGCAGGTATTTTTCAACATATATGCACCAATGTATGTGTCGGGGTGTTCCCTGGCTGTGAAAAATGTCACTGGACATCTTGGAAATAATATGACCTAAAACATAGATTCATGAAAATGCATTAAGACGTATGTAATTCAAAGCTTTCTGTCTAAAATATGTGTTTCTTTTTTGGCGGAGTTGCAGTTCACTTTGGTTCTGCGATCCAACTTTTGATTGCACTCTGCTCTGTGCTCAGTACAAGCCGCCTGCCCTTGTCAAGAAGGTCAACTCTGCGGTGTCAACCATCCCTTCGGCCCCCTCTCGTCTGCCCGCAAAAGCGGGCCTTGCCCAGACTACCGGTAACACGCGCATCAAGATTTTTTTGAAAGCACTTTCACATTCAGCACCTCCGGTTAGATGGATACGCGAGGTCACGAGCTCGAGAGGAACAAGACGTCACATTGAGTCACACGGTCTTCCTATTCTAGGAGTGCCTTCCGGTAAGGCCCCCTCTGCAGGTTCACTGAGGACAAACACATCTGGGGTGACGAGCCCCGCTTCTGGGTGAGTGCGCACCGACTGACGCGTTAGAATATGGAATCATCCGTTTTTCCTCTTGCATTTATTTCCCTTCGACGTGTATGTCAGCGTGGCAATGAAGAGCCGAGTGGTGGGCTCTGGGTACGGTCCCGTGAGAAACGCTCCGCCCGGAAGAGGACCGCTCCACAAGAAGAAACAAGAAGACACTTGCATAACGAGGTGAGCAAACTCCCCAGCAACTCAGGAAAAGCTCCAAGGGAGGAAGCTCATGCTTCGCTTTCCTGACCTCTTGTGGTTAGGTGATGTATTGCACATAGGTGTCCATGTGTCAATCAGAAGCATGTACTGCTTCACAGCTGAAATGAAACAAATGATTGCTTTATGGTGTATCAGTGTGGATTTGGCTTGCCATTATTTCAGATGGGAAAATGCGTTTTGAAAACTAGTCGTGTCCAAAGTCTTAATAGTACTTTTATTGACTGAAATAACCCTTGAAATACACTTGGCAAGAATCGCAGCGTAGGCGATGTCAGTGGAAGACATTAGATGTTCAATAATCAAAGCAATTGGAAGTTTTTTCCAACGCGGATTGTGTTCACTTTTGCAGGGATGATGTGGACGGCTGTCACAACGTGGGCAATGGTGAAATCAAGAGCAAGTTTTGTCACTCATGTGGGACCAGGTACCCCATAGAATCTGCAAAATTCTGCTGCGAGTGTGGCATCAGACGGATGTGTATCTGAGACGTCCATTTCCTCTTCATGGAATACTACACTTTTTTTTTCTCCTCGCGTGGGTTTAGAATTTATGTTGTCACGTCATTTACTTCCCAAACATGCGACATACTGCTTGATTCCTCCGCACAATGTCGCCAGCATCCTTCAGTCAAAATACGCATGGCAAAAAATTGCAGCCTGCTTAATATCTGCTTGTCACTGTTAGATTAGAATCACTTTAACTAGTGTTATTACCTTAGTGACTGTTGCTATTTATAGCAACTTTGCGGACCTTTCAGAATGCCATTAACAAAATAAAAGGTGACAAACAACCAATCTAGGCCCTTGTCGAGGTTCACCGGAGACTTGTGGTGATTGTGTGCAAGCGTCAGACGCCGGCCATCACTTGATAGTGGCGAATCTTCGGCCAGCCTCGCTGCCAAGTCTTGGGCAAAGAAACTCTCTGGAAATATTAGTACTGTAATTAATCAGGGACAATAAAATTCGGTTATCATTTAAAAGATTAGTTTGACGGGACGTCCTGGAACTTGACGGTGTGAAGGAATGGACTCAGTGCGTTTTGGGACAACAGGAAAAATATGAAGTGTGGGCTGAATCAGTTGTGAGATGCGCATCATTTCCCTCTGTCGCTCAGTCCTCAGTCAAGCATGGCGGTCACGACCGCTACTTCTCAATTTCATCAGATGAGAATTTGTTCCTGTCCGTAAGTGCAATATGATTAACCACTGAGGAAAGAGTCGATGTTTTTTTTTTTTTTTTTAAATAGACTAGGACCCAAGCACCTTTTGGACTTTTAATGCTGAGATTTCACACAAACCGTAGCATTCTCGGGAAGCCCACACGTTCCTTTTCCTTTTTGAACTAGCTATTTATTCCGTTGTTATTCCAGCCCAATTTTACTGGATGACTTTGTTTATATTATACTCAAAGTCCATTCTGTTTTTATTTGCATCTGCACCGAGTTGCATTGCTTTTGTGTGTTTTCCCTTTATTGTGACATGTTCATGATTCTGCTGTGTTTCAAATGCAGTTTTGACCAGTAAATGTCTTTCGCTGCATCTACTGTTTGTGGAGCACACTCCGGAAATGATGGACATACTAATTTGTCATAACTGGTTCAAAACGCGACTATTTAAAATGCTATCAATATGGGTAAATCAATAGTGAATGAGTATTGGTCTCTTTCAGAGTGGTGATAACCTTGGCACCTTCAAGCGTAGGTGAATATGTTATTTTTCACACATTTTGGCTGCTTCGTAAACCCAAATTCTGGTATATAAGGTCAGATGTAACATGCATACTTGGAGAATATGCAGCTCGCGTTACTTTTAGGCTGTCGTCAAAGGCACACGGACCACAGGATAGTACGACATTGACTCAAGTGATGTGACGGTCAATTCTTATGGAAGGGAAAATGATTGACAACTGTGTGCAAAAAAAAAAGTGTCTGTGTGCCTCATGCAATATTTGACCCCCATGAATAAAAAAAAAAAAAAACGTTGAGCATACAACTGTGTTTGTGTCCATTGAAGATAACAACAAAAGAATTACGACCTTTATAGTTTTGGTTATAAATATATTTTCAATTTCAATGGTTATATGCATCAAAAGTGTATGCGGGTTTCTTGTGCACAAAGGGGCAAGTTTAGCACTTCCAACATATGTGGCAATCGAACGGTTGAATCGCCCAAGCTGCATTACCGTCGCGATGAAGACATCCAACACGAGAACTTCTTGGTGCTGACCCTGAACAGAGTCGGGTCTGAGTTTGCGCTCAGCCATGTGTGGCAAAATGAGCTTTTAAAGCATCAGTCATACGCAGAGAGTGATCTGCCGTGTCATCTCATCCGGCGATTTCCCCCTAAAGGGTGGCGTTCAGAATCAGAAAACGATGTATTCATTAGTTTGTACAAAGGTATCTTTGCTTATATGTGCCCTGAGATTTTTGTAATCTAAAGTGATTGCCTTGGCTCATTGAAGATTGCGATCTGGTTGTTTGAATATGTAGTGACAACTGCCTTAATTAGATGTGCGGAAACGCTAAAATGGTGAAAGCACCCCCCCCCCCCCATTATACAGCTCAGCATATTGCAATGCCGTTTCACACTTGACTGAGCAAGTTGTGTTCAAAATGGAGCCATATTGAATCATAAAACAACTCTGCTTGACCTTTGGACATCTCACTGAATTGGCTGTGTAGCTTGCTAGCATATCGAAAGAATCAGCTGCTCTACATGAGCCAAAAAGAACCACACGGAAGAGAAAATGGCACTTGGCAGGGGAGCTTCAATGAAGTGGAAGCATCCTCTGTTGTAACGCAATCAAGGCGTACGAAAGAATTGGCGAGTGTCAAAGTAAACCACGCGGGGCGCCGCGATCAAGTGTTCCCTAACAGCGAATTCAGCATCTCGTAGCACTCGCTCATGCTAGATAAGATTGCCTTAACTTTGCAAAGTCTTTTGGTCCCCCTGTTGAGTTTTCGCTGCTGCTTGTGATTTTTTATCATTGCAGTCCTCCTCCTCTTTGGCCGCACTTTGGGTTCTTCACTCTAAAAAAAAACAGACAAACACAAGATGCTCCTTTATATCCTAGTTTACACCGGACTCTTATCTTTTTTTTCCTCTTCAAACTTGAACTTTCGCTTGCGGTTCAGCGTGACCCCAAACAAGCAAGCGCCAATGAAAACCAACCTCCTTAGCAGAGGGCAAACTGCTTAGACTGCACTGCTCGTTGTTTGAAATTCTAACGGGGTGACTTTTTTTATTCCACATATATTAGCCACCCGTCCATCCATATTTACGTTTGAAATTGAAAAACGTCTGGACTTACCAGTTTCAAAGAGCACGTGCACTCTATTGAGTTGAGGACAGATACGGCCAGTTGCTGTGTGTGGTTAAGTTTTATATTCCCCATCTGGCAGGTTAAATTGTGTAAGACGCCGACAAAATCCTGCAGAACACACGTGTACAAAAGCACTTTTGAAACGTGAATATAAATCCAAGTCCGGATGATCTAAATTTAGGATGGGCGCTACAGTACAGTGCCGTGCACCCTAAATGACTCCCCCAAGGTATGTCATCTTTTTGGTTCATGACAATACTTTGATGAAACCACAATGAGTGATGAGAATTTTAATGGGACTAAAGACTCAACAACTGACTCACCGTATTGTTTCTTGGCGAACAGTTTTGCACTCTATGTGTGTCCTCAGTGCATGACGCGTTTCCCTGCAGGGTAACGATTTTTTCTTTCTTATGAAAAAAGAAAACGCAGTCATGTTAATTGACTCATCAATTGTGTCGATATAATAATGTTACATTTCACGCTGGATGTAAAAACCGCATGCGCGATTGGCACCAATGGTTCATGATGATACAGAAGATGGAGTGGAACTTGATTGTTTGGTTTAACAAATGGCAACATGAGGTATTTTTGATGTTTAACAAAAACAAGAATGCTTTTCATGAATTCAAAATGAGAGCACTCGCAAGGAGCATTTTTTTGCGCTGGCGGCTGGAAAGAATCGATGGCTTTCTTAGTCTGCATGATTGATGCGCTGCACTTTTACTCTCTTTTATGGGACTGCAATGTCTTGTGCGTGTGTTCTTACTCACTGCGTTGTTGAGGTGAGTTTGCACGATTCCCATGTAATCCTCTCCAAGTTCTGCGAGAGGCCTTTGGCTGCTGCAGCTCGAAGCCAGAGGTAGAAGCAGAAGAAGCAGGAGACTAATGCGCAGAAGATGCTTGTGGGAGATAGAAGAAGATCTTTTTAGCAAGTCAGTCAAAAGTATTCTCTATTTGATGCAACTTTTTGGGAAATCCTTGAATTTATTTTTGGTTTTGTGTTTCTTGCCATGCATTTAAGAGGTTGACTAAAACACTTTTAAACGATTTTCACAGGCACAGTAGAGTGAGTGACACGCAAGTAATGCAAAGTATAGCGGGATGTCTTGACAAGCATACAAAGATGCTAAGAAACACGTTTTTGCACATTTAACCCGTTGTGTATACAGAGCTAAAAAATAAACAACTCCGAGTTGTCTTTTTGTAAGCTGTTAGTGGGCTGCAGGTGTATCGTAGCCAGTGAGTGCACTCCCCGGAGAAACACGCATTTAATAATATAGACACTTCAAAATATTCCACTCCAGCATTTTTGACATGAGTCATAATGTAATAAAGCAGGCTAGCGTGCTGATAAGATTGTTACAAAATGATTCAAACGACCCTTTAAACAAACGGCACCGGTCCTGTAAATGCGTCACCTAAAATGCTCTTTTAATTTCACTTTCCTTCTGAGTGTCAAATGGGAAGTGATAAACGAGGAATTCCAGTTGTTGAAAACGACTCGAGAGGGTCAGACGGCCGCACTGGAGGGACTGAAGCGGCTCTGACACTTCGCCTTCCATTCCCGAGTCTCGGTGAGTTGCACTCGTTCTCACGACTTACCATTGGTCATTCTTCATTCATATTCACCGCGGTTTATTTGGGAGTTATCGATGCTGCTCGCACGGCCGTCTGCTCTGTCGGAGATGCGGTCCGCACATGTCAGTGTACCTCGCAGTCTCCAGAAGTGGGTTCCCGTGGCTGCACCGCGCATGGACAGATAGTTCGTGTGTGCGTGTGTGTTTTAATTCCTCACGCCCTATCTGCGCCACACACTAGTATTGTGATATTTACTTCCTGCAGCTCCCACTTGGATCTCATTTTTCACTCTGCAATTTCCGAGACCATCCTACGAGGTTGGGACGTTGCCCACCTTCTGGCCTCGTTACTTCAAATTTGCTCATTGACATTATTATTATTTTTTTAATGAGTGGATTCTTAAAACGCGAGAGACGCACCCTCTGCACGACAAGGAAAACAATCGCCATTTATGTTGTGAATGCACTAAAGTGTGTGTTGTGCCGGAATTAACCAACATAGCACACCGCACACATAAGCTTATATCACTCCCTTAAATTGTGAGTCGTTTTCCCCTCATCAAAAGTTTGCCGGAGCGCAAGATTGGCTCGAAAACTGCCCAGTGATATTTTGGCCACACTTTCACTGTCTCATTACGTCTCCACCAATGAGTCTTAGTCGATCGGTGTACATTTTAAAAAAATTATTATAGTCCATATTAAGTATTCCATTTTGAAAGTGACCCTCTTAAGATGATTTTACATCACGTAAGTTCCCATCGTTTACATTCTGTATGTGTGCCTTTGCACTATGACATGGAACAACACTCAGGAAACCAGGGGTGTCCAAACTCGGTCCTCAAGGGCCCATTTCCTGCCGGTTTTCCATCCATCCCTGCTGAAACACACCTGATTCTGCGATTTAAAATGTTCTGACATGTTGAATCGTAATTGTTTTAATGCCTGCAAAGTGTGTGTGTGTGTGTGTGTGTGTGTGTGTGTGTGTGTGTGTGTGTGTGTTGTTAAGGAATTATTCCTCTCTTTTAGTTGGATCTGAAAGAAACAAAGACTGTAGAACATTGTTGAGGAATTTCGCCTTGCTATGAGTACTATTGATACTAGTCTCTTTCCTGAACATCTGTTAAAACAAAGAATGTAGTGTTAAGTTTAGATCCTATTCCCCCATGATTGATTAACAGCCCCCAAGTGTCTTCTTCTGGTCTCCCATCTCTGCTGAGTCCCTCAAGGCTGTCAAGTTGATTGGGATTTATGCACAGCAGGAGGATGTATGGATTTTTTGTCAACATGCCAAGATCGAACTGCATTGACCTTTCTTTGTTTCTGATTTTTACAGAAGGGGAAGGATTGCCCGCCCCTCATTAACATACTACGCCTGTATAAATGTGAGACTGTATTTTTTCGGGGCTTCCTGACAAGATCTGAAACTCTCAGAAGCCCGAATCGATTCGTGTTGCGTTGTGATAAACTGAGAAAAAGACGACGTGGTGTTGGGTCTTCTTCCACCTTATAGAGAAGAAATAAAAAAACCTGTGTCCAAGGAGGGCCTTAAGGAAATGGACAGATCCCCTCCTCTACAGTGTGTGTGTGTGTGTGTGTGTGTGTGTGTGTGTGTGTGTGTGTGTGTGTGTGTGTGTGTGCGTGCGTGCGTGCGTGCGTGCGTGTCTTTTAGAAAGTGGAGGAACCATGCCCCCTTGCACATCCATGCAACTACGCCCCTGCCTGATGACAGTCCAATGAAATTGCGATCCTGTATGCTGGCCACGCTCAGGACAGAAAGAGCAGACAGGAAGAGGAAGTCAGACAGACAACAGGAAATGACTCCAGCACGACAGGAATTGTGAGTTTTTTTTTTCAAATTTTATTTCGTTGAGACCCTTTATTTTGCAATAATTACTTAAATATGCAGCATAACAGAACAAAGCCATCAGGTTGAGCTATTACTTATAGCGTTAAAAAACAAACAAACAAACAAAAAACAGCCTTTGACTGCAAGCGGTGGCAGTCTTCATTTGAAGAGTTGTGTTTAAATTCCGGTTAGCTTGAAAAAGTTATATTTATTCCATGAAGTGCAAAATGCAATTTTTACAGACTAGCAAAATAGAGATAATTTTGAGATAACTTTTTCCAATACACAAACATGAAAAGCTCCGACCCACATATTGTTGTATTTCTGATATGATTATTATCATGAAAATGATACAAATGTGTGTGTGTTTTTGCCATAGCTCTCAGGTCCGCAATGATTGAAGACATGGGTCCAAATATGATGGTTGCCATGGTGGCAGCCGACAAAACACTCCTGATGCTCCACACACAACCAGATTCTTTTTGGAGATTACGGGATGATGATTCACTTTTAAAGTATGTCGAGATGTGTCCTGACAGGATTGCACAGTTTATTCAATTCTGAAATGATTTTATCTGCATTTTTCAATTTGCATTGTGGTCGACTGGTGAGCGGGTCAGCCTCGCAGTGAAGAGGTGCAAGGTTCGATTCTGGCTCCGGCTTTCCTGTGTGGATTTTCTCCCCCGTGCCTGCCTGGGTTTTCATCCGAGTACTCTGGTTTCCTCCCACATTCCCCAAAACTTGTATGGCAGGTTAATGAAACACACAAAATTGTCCCTCAGGTGTGATTGTGAGTGCGAATGGTTGTTTGTATGCCCTGCGATGGGCTGGCAATCAGTGCTGCAGGGTGTACCCCACCTACTGTCCGAAGTCAGCTCGGGGAGGCGCCGGCACGCCTGTGACCCTCCTAAGCATAAAGCTGTTTGAATGATGATGGATGAGTTTGCATTGTATTCATGACACAGATGTTTCACATGACTTTTAAATCTGGGGACTTTAAAAGTAATTCTGATCACGACACCTTGATACTTTCAGCATATGCCTGCCAATTTTTTTCGAAACAATTTTGAATTCATTATAGCATTCAAAGGTGCTACTATTTGTGTGATGAGTCCTCTTATACGCCACAAATAAATTTCTGAAAAAACGAAATTAAACGAAACAATGTATTTATTTTGGGGTCTAAATATGGTTGGCAAAGTAGTTCAGTTATTTGTGTACTAATGCAATATAAAGTTATTGCTTAAATATACACATGGTTGGCAAAGTCGCACACAGACATGAGGGTGGAACTTTGAAAACATATCCCGGAATAGTTTCTTGCCTAATATGTGTAAGTGAAAGCTACAATTCTGAGTTTATTTCCCGTAAGTGGCATTGCAACACTTTTTAAAATGTGGCTGTTTAGAGATTTGGGCTTCTCGTCAGTGCCTTTTTTTTTTTTTTTTTTTTGGAAGAACGCTATGCAATGTTAAATCACATGTATCCAAGACAGTCATGTGACGTGTGCATGGTGAAGTTCCAACCTGTTTGCGGATGTCCTGAATGCTCCTGAATCTGTTGGACCATTGCTTTCAGCTTCATGCCCGGTACACACGGATGAAATTTTACATTGGAAATAACTCTGTTTATAGGAGCATTTCATAACTGTGCCAGTCTTTTGGAAATAACTACGGGCTTTAATGTACATCCTATGAGCACATATTTTCTTGAGTGTACGACTTGCATGCAAGAGTATTCCACTTGGGCATGCATCCATCCATCCATCCATCCATTTTCTAATTGCTTCGCCTCACGAGTGCGTTTAATTTTCACCACTCAGTATGTCATTACGACTGGCTACGTCATCACTCTGCAATACATTCATTTTAACGTTATTTAGTGGGCTTTTGGGATTGCTACACGATCGGGCTTGAACGCAGATTCAATTTCAGACAAAGTGCGTCCTCTAGCGGTTGTTCTACAAACGCGCAAGTACTGTATTTGCAGACAGAAACATTGACCATTGATCATCAGCAGTTTATGATTTGAAAAATGCCGAGGAGAGATGAAACGAGCTAATTTGCTATCGTCCATACAGTTGAACTAGAAGTACTGTAGTATGCCTATTAAATGTACGCGTATACAAATTACTGAGTACTCCACTTTCTTATACAATCTAATGAGATCCCAATAAGTTGCATTTGTATTCATTTACATTTACAACATTCAGACCCTTCACTGTTGTCATTCAATCATGTAAAAACAGCTGTCCTTCTCTTTGCACGCCCCCGAAGGCGATGCCCAAATGATGTCATGCTTGCTTCCACGTGATGTGGAAATGCGTTTTCCAGGGGTGTCCAACTCTTTCCTGCATGATTTCCATCTCTTCTCGCTGCAGCACACCTACTTCCAATCGTTATCAGGCTCCCGCACAGGTCGCTGATGAGCTGAAAATTTGAATCATAGCGGAGTTTGAGAGTCCTGGGTTACACAAACTGCACCTCAATGCTCCCTCCGTCCCAAGCGAGGGCGGCGGCTCAGAAGGGAGCATCTCCCCGTCATATCGTCGTAGCCCCTGGAGGGGGCGCGCCACACCACGTGATTGAAGGGCTTGACAGAACGCGTGCGCGCGCCACCGAGTGAGTGCCCGAGCTAGACAGAGAGCGGCTGTCTGCCTCCTTTCCGGTGCTGCCTGTCGCCGCAGTGCTTCGCCGCTCTCCCCCGCCTGCACACCTCCGCTCCGAACCCCTCGAGCTACCTGCTGTCACATCGCCCGTCCTCCTCCACCTCCCTCCGCGGATGCCTCAGTCCTTTCGCGAGCTGCAAATGCACGCTGCCCCCGCCGCCTCCCTGGAAGCAGGACGAGGCGACCGGACGCGTTCTCCCACCCTCGACTGAGGCGAGCACGCTGCGGATTGGACCCCGAGGAAAGGCGCACCAGGGGCGCAAGGAGAATCGAGGAGACGCCGGTGGCTGGGACGGTGGCCAGGAGCTCTTTTCGGTAAGTCTTGAGGTGTTTTTTTTGTCTTTCCTTAAATGAGCGAACATTAACAATCTGAACGACATGCTGTCACCCTCCACAATTGGACGGACAAAGTATTCGTCAGACACACTTGGGCATGCATGGGGGTGCATTGTGCCGGTATCAAAAACGTGATTCTTGTGTTGCCCTCAGACGTCCGGCAGACCACACACGGCTCAATGTGTTCAATGTGTTCAATGTGCAATTACTTCTTGTATGAAAAGGCGGTCGTGTGTGAGAGAGCATCACCTTAGGAAGGCTTGTTAAAACGAAGTGAAGTTATGCCTTGAACATACTGCTTCCTCTCGAAGAGCACGAGTTACAGAGGTGAGGCAGGGATACGTACAGGTTTCTCATCACCCCTTTTGGCTTTCTTGGGATGATAAATCGACATTTTGCAGGAGAGGCATTGTGCTGGCAGTTTTGTCAAGGGCGTGCAATAGATCCTGCTGATGAGCTGGAGGTAGAGGAGGATGTGCAGAGGGGGTGGTGTTATTAGACATGATGTGGGTACATGCACAGCCGACTGCATGTCAGCACTCTGACAGGTGCGTGATGGACAGCATCGTCATGCAGCGAGCGGGGGAAGCCAGCAGATTTGATTATATACGGCAAGGTCTCACTGTATGGCATTGAACTCTTGTTTTACCAAGTGCTGAGGACATAAGTGCTGAAAAGAAAAAAGCTTTGCGTTGGCGCTAGGTACTCCGACAATACTGTACATATACCTTCCCAGACTGTAGAAGTTAATAATTGAGGGTAGAAATTTGAACAACGCAGCGTCCTAACCACCGTTGGGCAAGGATTACCACTGTGAACATGAGTCCACTCTCTTTGTATAATTTACACCGTGTACCCTGGCTTTTTGTCCTGCGTTGGGACCAACAGGCTTTGCTCAAGTGATCGGGGTTATCATATTTTGAGATATTTTTTTTCATTGTAGTTTTTATTTCGTTTTGACATTCGTTTTTTTTAAATATATTAGTTTTTAAAGCAGTTTATTTTTTACATTTCTTGTAGTTTTGATACATTTATATTTTCTCGAAAATGCTTTGTCTCAGTGTAGTTTATTAGTTTGAGTATTAGTTTTATTTTTTTGAAATATATAGAGTTTTTAGTGTGCAGCATACAAAACGTCACTAACTGGACACTAAAATGAACTACAGATCTCAAACGACTGTTTGACCCTCCTATATTGTTAAAAAACAGATAAAAAAAAACCCTCTGGAAGCCCATGTCGGAAATTCATTGTCAAAGCTGAGAACAAAGGACGTTTTGCTGTGACGATAGTTAGTTTCATAAACGTAAAATGTAGTTTCAGTTATCATTTAAAAAAAAAAAGTATTCTCGTTTTAATTTTAATGAAGATGTGGGTGGCTCTGCCTAGCCCACGTTACAATGCATGACTCGGCAGTTTTAACTGGTTCCAACTTGATATGTGTGCCAGGGTGCAGATGAAAGATGACAAGCCAGGAGGAAAGTTCTCAGAGAAACAATGGCCCAGCTCTAGGCACCTTTCTAATCATTTGCGCCAAAGAGGCCGAATCAAACAGCCTCACCTGATGTCATGTCGAGCAGCGGTACATCTTTTCAAGCGTTGCGAAAAGCACAACACAGGCCAAGAATTGATGCTCGCTGAGCTGAGGTCCAATGAGATTTGCTGAGGGCATTCACCACAGCACTCAAACTTTGAAACTGCCCCCCCCCCCCAATTGTTCCAAAGCTGCTGGGGGCTCCAACTCAGCCGCATCTCGAATGAGTTGGATTTAAAAAAAATGGATGGACGGATTAACAAATGGTGACATTTGACTTCAGAGGTTCCGCTTTAATTAAGTGAGAAACCATTTCACAATTTATTGCCATCATCAGTGTATTCTGGTGCCATATTTCTCTTTGTCACATATAGGCAACGCCCTTGTGTGCATCTCCCTTTTGTACATTGAGCTTCTTTTCGGTCCGGCGACTGTCTCTAGCGGGCCTGTGAAGCCTCGTCCTTTCGTTGCGGACACAGATTAGGCTAATTCACACAGCGGCGTGGGATGCTTAATCACTACGCGGCGGCGGCACAACCCGGCAGTCTTTATCGTGGCGTAGTTGAGACAGGGGGTGGGGCAAATTGAGCCGCCGGTGCCTATCGATCGGTCGGCGAGGCTGCCGGCTGGCGTCCGCGAGGATGGAGTGCTGTCGAAAGTCCAAAGAGCGGCCATGATGAACTGGCCATGGAAGAGGGATGCTGATGGCCAGGGAGGAGTTTGCATCAATAGTTAGTCCGCCTGGAGGCATATACTGTAGTCCGGGTGGGGATTGTTTTATGCTTAGCCGCTCTGTCGTGAACCTGTCGGGACCTGGCGGGCGCCAATATGACCTTTCCCTCCTTTCTGCTTTGATTTTCTTTTTCCTGGGAGCTCTCGGAAAAAGTAAGACGACATGCTGGGCAGCCAGCGAGTGAGACTCATTTGACCTCCCTTTTAATGTGTGGGGAACCAAAAGCCCCCCCCTTCCGCTTTGTATGTAGTACACAAAGACATACTATCTATCTGACTTCCTCTTGACACCAAACACAATTAAGATTTGATGCTTTCTCCTTCATCCGAGCACGTGTCATGGGTAGACCACAGCTTGAGTGACACGAGCTGTGAACTTGCCCGGTGCTTTGATTGCATTTTGATGGACTCGTGGGAGGTGTTGACAGCCTCCATATGCTCATCCATCATTCATGCTTTTTGTCACGAGTCAACGTCGATGAGCTCGCTTAATGACATTAAAAAAAAAAAAAAAAAAAACACGCACAATGCACAGTCACTAATGGACATTTTTACAATGTTCCCCCATAAGGCTTGAAGTGTTATAAGATTAAATAGACGTTATGCGCCATTAAACCTGTAGCATCACTCTTCTTTTCTCTCACAGTACATAACAGCATCCAGCCTGGCTTTCCCATGGGGCCACATTTAGGCAATAATCTCTCTTGCTCTTAATTGTGCCCATTTGAATGACGAATGCGTACTCATTACTGTTTTCCGTGTAACTGCTGATGACGGCGTCTGGCTACATGACAACCAAAATACGGCCCTTTTCGGTTCACCTGTACAAATATTGTAGTTTAATATTCATATGTACTTTAGTGTTATTGCTCCTCATCGTTCGACATTTCCCCACATTAAATGTTGATCTCGCTCAAAAGACGAGCGAGTGAATTTCCCACTTTCAACACCCACTTTGACAAGTGAAATATTGTCACCAAGCATGATGGCGTGATTAGTTGAGTGCTGTGAGATTTCGCTTCAAGGTTTTAAATCTAAAGGGGCAGGGGAGTCCTTGATGGAGGATGGTGGGCTTGTCACTGAGCTTTTGACCTCTGTAAGAGGCAATAGGAGCACGTTCATACAGGGGAGCAAATGAGAGAAATACGTTCCGCATTTTCGATTAACCGTGACCTATTACGAAGCTACTTATTCAAGGGCTTGGACCGCATCGTGTGTACATGCTCATCGGCCACAGGTTAAGCTACACCTGATATACGGTGGCCGTTTCGGGCATGTACATTATGTGCGGCTGCGCAGGGCGGCATTGCAAGGGGTGAGGCAATGTGCCGTGAAGGAGAGAAAAAGAAAAAGTGCCACTGAAATGGATTTCTGTTGTGTCACGTTGCGACACAGGTCAAGCTTTAGCATTGACATGAGGAATATGCGCCCCCTTGTGGAGACACCGTCTGCAGAAAAGATGCAAGTTGAGGGTGGTGGTCTCGTGGAATGATGGGAAATGTGAATGTCGACTTTTCGAGTGCATGGGTGGACATGATGAAAGCAATCAGGTAAACGAGGTGGGAAATGAAGCCAGGGTGGAGGTATGAAGACAGCCCTATTCTTATTGATGATAATACGTCAGGCCAATGACAGCTCTTTCAACTATTTCATTTGACCAACGTCAAAACATAACAACCTCATTTTGTACAGATGAACAGGTGGCCCTCCTACGATAATTTTTTTTATTGAGCTCACCTATTGGCTGACTGGAGTTGGCGTTCCCTTGCAACTCAAGTGTCACTTCACCATCTGCTGACCTTCGGTGAACACCCAAAAGGGGTTGTGATTTTTTTTTTCTTTTTTTAAGACGTGTGTCATCCTTATCCTGAGAAATAGGTGTTCAAAACAAAATGAATGAAAGATTTTGCCATGACATTGCAGAGGCTGCAGATAATGTGCCAAACAGGATTTATGAATAAAGTCTCGGGTAAAAAGGGAGGACTGTTCAAGATGGATAAGACTGAAGACACAGTTTGAAATCCCTTCAATCATGTGTCACATATTTCACGTCCTGCTCAAAAGTAAGCTTAAGCAGGATTTTTCTTTTTCTTTTTTTTTTTGCACCTCTGTAGTGCCCTTGTGCTTTTAATCTCCCCATTCCAAATGAAATGCGGTCTTTTGTCATTTGTAAAGGAAAGGAAGCGGTTGGCGAACGCTTCCTTTGGGGCCACGGTTGAAGTTTCCATTGAATCTGCCGGAGAAGTTTGACAGTGCAGGAGGTTACGAAAGCATCGCACCATTCGCAATGTTGTAGACGGCGTGATTAATGACGGTGAGCTTTGGAGATAGCGATGTGTCAGCGTTGGAAAGGTTCCAGCAAAGCGTGTGTGGATGCCTTGGTGTGTTTTCTAGCCCTGATTCTCTCCCTCCTCCTCCTCCTCCTAATGAGCGAGCCGCAGATGGGGCTCCCTCCATCATCCCTCCTCCTCCACTCTATTGTCCTCCCTATCGGCCGGAGGGACAAAGAAGGGAGTCAAGAAATGAAAGTGATAAAAGGAGGAGCGAGGTGGGGAATATGCCGAGTGACAAAACGGCGCAAAGGTACGCTGGGTTAAGGATGCAGGTGACAGAAGAGGGAATTGGCAGGAAGGGGTAAGTGGCGAAAATGATGGGGAGGTGGAGTGGAAAGTGAAAGACAGGGAGCTAGGTGGAAAATGGAGAGCTTGTGATGCA